AACGCTGAAAGAAGATAAACATTTTAGCACATTCCTGTCTTAAATGGAAATGTTGAACAAGTGAAGATAACATCTACAAGCAATAATACTCAACAAAAACAACTGGATGCAGAGAAGTCACAGAACAAAAAGTGGGGAGGAGAAATTAATAAGAGGCAGAAAAGTATAATTCTAGCTCCCCATTTCAATTTTAGCCATCTCCCCACTCTCCAAGATTATCAGAAGCACAAGGTGACTAAAATCTTATAAGGTGAGCCCAAGAGAACAGAGCAAAGTATTTCTACTAGGATTTTAATTAATAAAGTATGTTAAATGGAGATAGTACTGGAGAAAAGACGGAAAATACAACATAGGCCCAATGCACTGCTGGAGCTGCTGGAGCCCATCCATTGCAGTCAACCTTTACATCCCTAATTCTGTTTTGAAAGTAGATGACAAACAGTCCATAAAATTATCCAAACTACTCAATAATTCCTTCATGTCTTACCACCTAGAATTGCCTTTCTCGACTTCGAGAAACAGAGACATAACCTTAAGGTAAGGGTTGTCTGGTGCACACATAGTTAATACTTTTGTATTGGGGTATTATATCTGGGTTACAAGCCTGAACAATATGATTGAGGTTTTTAACAGTAAGAGCAGTCCTACAATGCAGGAAAGCCTCCCTCTTCCTGGAGATTTTCAAACATATGGCAGGTAGCCATTTGTTGAAGATGCACTAGCTCTGGATTTCCTTCCTCAGTCAAGAAATGGGTAAGTGGCTGGCAAATTCTCTACCACCTCTATGATTCTGTACTTTTAACCAAGTATACAGCAGGGGCAAGAAAAATTCCTGCAGTAAGTAAACAGAAAAAAGTTAATCGTTCTACTTTGTCTTCTTCTACTGCTTACTCCATGTTCAAAAAGAGCTGAATACTTTCATCTTATGGAAGTTTATTCTGCTGAATGAGACAGTGTGCGTCTTAACTGGAAATCTGAACTTTTACAATGCTTATTTTTATTTGGAAACTGTAGATGTAGAGAAAATGCAGAAAAGGAAAACCAAGATAATCAACAACCCAAAGCAACTTCCCTGTGTGGAAAGTTTGGGTTTTTTAGCTTAGAAAAAAGCAATTAAAGGGAGACTTCATAGAGGTATATACAATTATACACAGTACAAATTTATAGGGAGGAATTTTTCTTTGTTTCTTGTAATACCAGAACCCAGTGTCATTCAATGAAGAAGAAAAGGATGAAATAATAAAACACTACTTCATTAATCTGATGTTTGAACTGTAGAATTTACTACTCAGAATGAAATGATAACTGTTATTTGGATGGCTTTTGAAGATTAGATAAATTCATGGAGAATATGGCTAGAAATTGCTACTAGATTTTATGGCTATACACATATTACTTCCAGTGTCATCACTTGCTGGGGACCACAAGCATAAGGTGCTACTGTGACTGTAAATATGAATATGCTGAATAGGAACATGCTTTCCTCTTAAGCTTACTAACATAATTCTCATGAAAATTAATCATATGAGATACAAAAATTTGTACATGTGGTCTTTCCTATGAATATATCCAGCTAAAACATGTTTTATAGTGCTTAGCACCATCACTGAATGTATACGACGTTATAATCCCCCCCCCATTAAAACCAATTTCCTTGGAAAGTACCCATGAAAAATTATCATAAACTTATGAAATACAGTGGTACCTCTACTTACAAACGCCCCTACTTACGAATTTTTTGAGATATGACCAGCTCCGGCCCCAAAGGTTTGCCTCTACTTACGAACTCGCCTCGACTTACAAACCGGATCCGCAGCCATTTTCCACCCGTTTCACGTGGTCCGCGGCCATTTTCTGCCCGTGCCACGTGGTCTGCGGCCATTTTCCGCCCGTTCCACGTGGTCTGCGGCCATTTTTCTGCCCGCGCCACGTGGTCCGCGGCCATTTTCCGCCCATTCCACGTGGTCGGTGGCCATTTTTCCACCTGTTCCACAGGGTCCGCGGCCATTTTTCCGCCCATTCCACGTGGTCCGCGGCCATTTTTCCGCCCATTCCACAGGGTCCGCGGCCAT